TGCCAAAAAGAAAGCTTTCAGTGCTCTGCCATGATCTGCATGCAAGCCAATCGGCCATACCATGCTTTGCGAGCCATGTGGCCAGCACCCTATTTTTCGAAGCAGCCAACTGGCCATGAACACATATTTATACTATATATATATATATATCTCTCTCTGAACTTCATTTCAAGTCGCATTCCTTTGTGTTTGTTTCCCATGCTTTCTTCATTGCAGCCTTTTAGGCCATTCAGCCCGACCAGGCCAGTGTGAGCAGCCAGTGCTTCTCAGGGCCATGCAGCGGTACGGGTGCCAAGACTTCGTCGAGGAGATTGCTCATCTCCAGAAGCTGGCCGAGATGCTGCCAGACTCACCAGTCACCGAGAGCATGGCCAACACCTTCATGGCTAAGATCCAGGGATTCCAGTCCTGGTCCTCGGAGAGCATCTGCCAAATGCTTGCCAAGGCCGACGAAGCTTCCAAACTGCCAGAGGCCATGAAAGCAAAGATTCTGGACACCATCCAGAATTTGTCCATGAACACCGGCTCCCAGCTCAAGTTGGTGAACACTGGCCAGTCCGTCCAGCGGCTGTGTCCATACTTGACCAGGCCAGACTGGGTCGCTTTGTCCACCCTCACGAGCCAAACGGACCAGCTGGAGCTCTTAGCCAAAAGACTCCGAGCCATGGGACTGCATTCTTTAAAAGAATGCACCAAGGGCCAAGCGGTCGCCATTGTCTTGATGGTGCAAGCTTCGCAAGGCAAGCCAAGCCTTTCGGCAGCTGCCATCAACTCGGCAGTCCAGGACTTCGGAATCATCTTCCAGTCCCTGCCAAGCAGCAATTGCCCCGGCGCCAGCAGATATCCAGACCATCCATCAGAGATGGGCCAGCTTTGGCTCTCCAAGGCCTATGGTCCAGGCGACCAGCCAGATCTGCAGGACCCATGCCTGGCTCCATTTTTGAAGAAAGCCCCTTGGTTGCATAACTTGGATCTGTTCCGTGTTGCATTTGTTTCTTGCATGCATGTAGACATTTCTACGTCTTCGTCCCCGAGGTGCCTCTTCGAAGCACCCATGCTTCATTGGCCGGCGGCACCAGGTGCAGGTCCAAGCGGCCTCCAGCGACACCTCAGGGCTCCACCTTAAGCTTCGACCAGGAGCTGGAAATGCTGAAGCTGCGGCATGGCATCCAAGCCCAAGCAGCCACACAAGGCACAGCCACTCTGCAGGGAAGCCAAGGGCCCACCGCCGCAGCAACAGCAGTGTTGCCTTGGCTGTCGCCGCGAAGCATGGTCCAGTCCCACAGCCAGAGTGCTGCCAGCACAACTGCCCCTGGCCAGGTCTTTGGCCAGAGCACAGCATCTGCCGCTGCTTTGCCACTTCCTCCGGCAAGCCCGCCTCCTGAAGCCACGACCAGAGTCGAAGCAGCTCCCACGGAGACGACTGCCAAGGAAGACAGTGCCAAGCAGGACACGTGTATATTTTTGTTTAGTTTCCTTCCATACTGCTTATTCGGGGTTGTTCTGCAGCATTTCACCCTGCAAGGACGCCAAGACATTGCAGGAGTACGAGCAGGAGCAGTTCCAGAAGCTGCTGGATGCCAAGGCCGACAAGAAGAAGAAGGCCAAGGAGGACGGCCAGGCCGACCAGAAGCCCAAGAAACAGCATATGAAGCGGCCAGCAGCAGCCATGTCTACCCGACAAAGCTCGGCGAACCAGGGCACCACCTGCAACGGCCATGAGGCTGGCAAAGGTGCCACCGCCGCCAAAGGCGGCAGCACAAAGATCCTCTACGGATGTATCCGCTGTCGTGGTAATGTTAAGGGATGCTCCAGTTGTTGGGACCCAAACTTTCGGGGCACCCGTCTCCACGGCCGCCAAGCTTGGAGGGAGTACATCGAGGCCCACAAAGCCAACAAGGCCATGAAGAAGGCTCCCAAGAAGTAGTGCCAGGCATGGTTCCAGGCAGTTTGTTTTCTTGCAGGGCAGCACCAAGGGGCCCAGGTGCAGGGTAGCAAGAAGCCACAACAGCCCAGGCAGGGTGCACCGTGCCGACACGAGCAAAAAGACCGCCTGCATGTCTTTGGACAAAGTGATTCTTTGAAGCCATGCCGTGGCCATCCTGCAGCATGCTGTTTCTGTGTATATATGCACTTCCGAGGTCTTTGTTGACGCACTGTGCCCGCCATCGCTTCAGCAACGAAGGTTCCAGACTTCTCCCACGAAGAGGTCCATGCATGTGAGTCTGACATCCACAGCCTATATAGACAGGGATGCAGCCTTCATCCATATAGCACACATACCATTGATTCCCATGTGAAGCAAAGCACATTGCCACTGCCCTTGCCCCCAAACCCACTCTCAGCCATTTTTGGCCATGGAACCTCCACAGAAGAAGAGCAAACTGCAGCAGCTGCTGACCTTCAAAGCTGCTTTGCCAGGTCACTCCCAAAGTGCACTGGCTGCTTTTGTGGAAGTCGCCAAGGAACAAGGCCTCCCAGAGAAGAGCTCTTCCAATGACCAGCGGAAAGCCAGGGAGGAGCTTCTACAGAGCTGCCATGGTGGGCTACTGGGTCCTTTGATCCAAGAAGCAGAGGTCACCACCGATGCTGGTGCCAAAGTCACCATGTACTTTGCCAACCTCTTGGTTTACCTGGCCAGTCTTTTCCAGATGGGTGGAAGCTTCCATGATCTGATCCAAAGGAAGCATCGAGCCAACCCATCATCCGTCTCCAAGCCGTGGCAACTTATACTTTATGCAGATGAGGTGATACCAGGAAACGTCTTAGGACCTGCCCAACGTAAATTTTGGGCCATTTATGCCAGCTTCAGGGAGATGGACCAATTCCTCCACCACGAGGACCTCTGGCTGACCATCTCTCTTGAAAGGTCCAACTTCGTGAGCCATGTCCAGGGCGGCATCTGCCAGATCATGTCCAAGATCTTGGAAACCATTTTCGCCAATGCCCACGTGGAACCATTGGCAGGGTTTGTGTTGAAATCCCCACATGGCCCAGGTTCCGATGTCCGGCTCCATTTCCGGTGGGCCATATGTCTGGCAGACGGCGGTGCCCATAAGCAGATTTGGTCTTCCAAAGGTGATTCTGGTACCAAATTTTGCATATTATGCGCCAACATCCACTCAGGACCACCCACAGGCGACAACCACGACATCATGGACCACCGCACGACCAAATACAGCCAATTGGTTTTGACCACTGATGAAGACGTCATCCAGTCCTACCGCAGATTAGACGAAAGGCGAGCCACGTGCAGGACCAAAGCAGAATTCTCGCAATGGCAACAAGCCACCGGTTGGACCTGGAATCCCCAGGCCTTGCTCCTGAACCAGACTTTGTTGGCGAAGAACCAAGTGAAGCCAGTCAGCCAGTTCTGCCATGACTGGATGCACGGCATTCTGCAAGGAACGGCCCCAGTCGTGCTGTTCCAGAGCTTCCAAGCCATCTCCGAGCACTACAACATTTGGGAGGCCATGGGCCCATACATAAGGATGTGGAACTTTCCAGGTGCTTCCAAGGCCGGTCACTTGGCTGGTTTGTTCGACACAAGCAAGGTCGCCAAGTACAAGAGCAGCCAGAAGTTCAGTTGCCAAGCTTCGGACCTCCTAGGGCTTTATCCAATCATTCGCCATTTTTTGCATTCTGTTGTTGTGTCAAGCGGAATCTGCCCAGAGGCTTGCCAAGCTTTCTTGAGCCAGGCCTGCTTGATCGACCAGGTTCACCAAGGGGTCATGTATGGAGCCACCACCAGAGCCAGCCTTCTCAGGGCTGCGGAAGAATCCATCGAGACCTTCCAACAGGCCAACTTCGACGTGCCACTGATGCGGAAGTGGCACTGGCTGCTCCACTTGCCTGATATTCTCCAACGGCATGGGTGCCTGCCATCGACATTTACGAGCGAACGAAAGCACAAAACCATATCTGCTTTCGCCACAAGGCTCCAGAAAACAGCCGCCTTCGAGATCCACTTGCTCAACCAGGTGCTCGCCACCGAGATCACCACTTTGACACAGGCCGGGCTGTTTCCAGACTCCTGCCAGTTGGTGAAGCCAAAGAAGCCCAACAAGCACCAGCTGCAATTCCTCAACCAGTTTGTGGATTGCTCAGCAACTGAAGCCATGGTTGCCTCTATCGCGAGGCTCGCAAGGGGTGGTGCCATCCATGCCAACGACGTCGTGGTGTTCCACCAGGAAGACGGAAGATGGGACATGGGCCAAGTGCTTTTCCATTTGGAGCTTGGAGGCGACAAAGCCACACTCGTCCAACGTTGGAGGCCAACAGAGACACAGAAGACAAAGCAGTTCGCCAAGTGCTCCATCACCAACGAGCAAGGCTTCGTGTCCATGGACTCCTTGCTGTACCCAATGGTGTACAGCAAGACCACAGAGAGGGAGGCCACTGTGCTGCTACCGTACCAGCTGTACCACAGGCTTTGAAAAACAGTGCTTCTCAATCCGCCACAAGGCTGTACCACATGCACATGACATTTTTAGCCCTATAGGCCATGCACGACAGCCTGTCCATGCAGGCCATTGACATGTATTTTTGCTTTAAATTTGTTTGACAAGCTACATGTTTTATATATTTCATTTCCGATACCAGTGTTTATGCTCCATGAAGTGTCTTCTCATATCAGAGTCCCTAGCCTAAACCTCAATGCCAAAACACACAAGTTACTTCTACAATTTTGATGTCTATAACATAAGCTAACTCCACCTAACTTTTTAGCTAACTAACATAACTATGTTAACCACTTATAAAACAACCAGGATTCCAAGTACTGTTGGAGTGGGAACCCAAACCGCCTCGTACTGACCTACTGGCTTTGGACAAGTTAAGCGCATGTATGCACCATCTGCATGATCTTGCAGCGAAGGCATTGACAAACATGTTCATGTCTGAAGTGTAAACCAGAAACCATGAACCCACACGTGTGGATCATCTTCGCAATGCGCATGCAAGCTGCGCAACATGTAAGCTGCGTAGTGCAGAATGGTATCCTCCAGCGTCTGAATGGCCAGCAGGCTGGCTTGCCTGCGCAGCTCCACATCCTGCGGCGTCTTGAACGGTTCAGGGCTTGGAAGCTTCTGAGTTTCGGGATTTGGATGCTTCTTCTGCACCCCTCTGTTTGTACTCGAGGGTGCAAGTGGCTGTTTCAACGAAAGGTGTCGACCAGGCTCCGGATTGCTTCTTGCTTTTCGATTGGTTTCAATGCAGGATTGCGCCACATCCCTCAGTACGAATTAATGAAGATCGGAACAGGCAGCGTCCAACAGCACACAAACTCTCTCTGTCGCAATAAGTTCTCGTAGACGTAGTTTGTTGTCGTCATGTGAAATAATCTTGGCATGCGTCGCGTGATAGAGCTCATGTATGCTGCAACAAGACAACAAGACGTCAGGAAACAGGCAAACAACCTGAACATCACCTGCACAACTTTCATCTCTGCTGAAGCTTCAAATCTCGGTCAAGTACTTTGACCTTGCGGCTTGAAAAAGCAGGCGAACCAAAGTAAGCGACCTTGGACCGAGTCTCTGAAGCCCCCGTGTTCCGAGTTCCGAGCCGTCCTCTAAGTGGTGTTGGCTAAGCTGCGCTGTACGCCAAACGTTGAAGAGGCAAAGTGCAATTGGAATTAACCGCTCGAACGCGTGGTTCCAAACGCTGTTCTTCCATCGGAGCAGAACGGAATAGGGCACAGCCACTGCGGCACAAACGCAAATAACCAGGATGTGCACGATGCGGATCACAACGCACTTGATCCACATTCGGAGATCTCGGGGAGCAAATTCCATGACCAAGGACCCCACGAAGCAAAGCAGCGTCAGGCCCACGCAAGCACTGAGGACGGGATCCACGAAGCAACGCGAGCAGGTTCTGCAACAATGGTGATAAAGTAGCAAAATCCACATGCCACCTCTCTGATTGCCATCTCATGTTCGGAGTATGCAAAAGCTACATGTGACATAAACGGTTTTACACAACCGACTCAAAGAGAACAGATTTCCAGCCTAGCATGAGGCCGATGATGCTGGGCACGAGGATAGTCCTTATCGCCACCGAGCACTGCGCCAGCAAGTGCCCAGGTAGGCTTCATAGACACACCTGGAACTGGGCTGACGTCTGAAAGGACCCGAAAGGTAAGCTAAGTATAGTTACAACTATACAAGTTAGAAACCATTGCAAGTTAGAGTCCTAACAGCCAACCAAATAAGAGAGCCAAGACACCACAGGCGCGTGTAGATACCTTCGGCAGAAACAGAAATGGAGTCATCAGTATTTGGCTATTGCTACTGCTGCGGCTGTTTTGTCCGATTCAGACATATGCGCCACAACAATTGAACCCACCGAAGTTGCAAGCCCAGCAGCAGAAAGGACAAAGCAGATCTGTTGCGTGATCCTAGCCGAAGTGCTGACGGTGTCGTTCGGTATGACGAGGACGTGCGAGGCCGTCAGAATGGCTCTGGCGAAGGGGCTCTCCTGCCAAAGGATGTGTAGCTGGTGTCTGATCGCACGGCTATTTCGTTTAGATACAGAAAGCACAAGACTGTGAGCAATACATGCATAAATGAACCGGGCAGGGTAGCCTGGAACAGATCCTGGGCAAAGTACGCCGCTAGTATCAGGTCTGCATTTCTCGGGGTTGACCCTGAACCTGCAAAGGCGCACGACAGCAAAGGAAGGCTGCCAGAAAGTCCTCGGGGGGCCCGCTGAGCAAAGCTGAGATATCCAGGTTTTGGGGGTTTGCCAGAAGGCAGCAATACCTGAGCTGCCACGCCGTACTCGCGCACGTGCATGCATGTGGACAGACAGACAGACAGACAGACAGACAGACAGACAAACACACAAACAGACGGACATTCACACATAAATTCGTTGTCAAAATGAAGCACTACCTGTTTTGACGGGTCTGAGCTTGATGATCTCAGGATTTGACGGAAGAGTTTCAATTATGCTCTCCTCTATTGTCACCTTCGTTCTGATAATCAAACGATAGATCTGGCGTATGTCTTGGTACATCCGTTGATCTGTTCCCTGCCCAGAAATGTGGGAGGTTTGCCTAGGATGCGTCTAAGGCTTCTGTTTCTAAGTGCATTTAGTTTAAAGGTTTCAGTTCGGCATTCATCATTTGTGCACGCTTGAGCCCGTATAAGAGCTTTGATCTTATGATTACGCTAAATACTTGGATTTTCCGTTTTATACGTGTTATATCTTGTGCCCGAAAATCTTCAGTCGATTGCAAGCCTCAATACAGTCTCCAAGCCTGTTCGCTATTTCCGCCTTGTATATACACATGGTCGCATATACAAGTACAAACAGGTGTATATGCACATGATATAGGAAGACACATACACCTACGTATATTAACGAGTTATATCGACATGCACAAACCACAAGAGCCGACATCAGCCAACAAGCTAAGTATGCAAGCATTTCAGAAAGTCAGCAGAGCAAGGACAACATAACAAAGCATGCAGTAAGGCGCAAAACAAGCGAACGACTCGATCTGCTTCGTCCCGACATGCTTTCATGCACTGCGGAGCCAGCACAAAATCCCAAACACTCGCAAGCATCAGTGTCAAGCCTGAATCCGGGCTCATGTCCTATGTCAAAACAACACTTGAGCGAAAACTGCGCATCCAAAGGTGCAAGTTTCGCAGACGCTGTAGTCGCGGCCAGCCGCGGCGCACGAAGTCTGATAGCTCGAAAATGCCTTCTGCCCAAGCATGGGAGATGAAGACCTGCAGACCATGACCAGCCCAACCATGGCATGAACAGCTGCGATTGAAGATGGTGAGACAATATAGGGGCAGCCAGAGTAGCAATAACGGCAAAAACATCGACAACTGTCATAGCTCTGGGATGACGTCCGCGACAACGATTATTAAGATAACGGCGACGACGCACAGCAGTAGCACACAGACCCAGCCTGGCAAAGGAGTCCCTCAGGATGCTTCATCAGAGCGTAGCTCATGCCACCGGCCGCTTGCGTCAAGGGCTTCACGTAGTGTTCGTTCACCTGCCCACAGGGTTCTGGGCAGTTCTGGGTTTGGGGTTGGGGGCTCAGGGATCCTACCCAAGCTATCGTCCAGAGTCCGGGGTGTCGAGTCGGTTTGGAGTTCGCTGCGTCTCGGGTATATGGCTGCTACACTCCCAACCCGATCTGTAGGCGAAGAGGACTTGCCTGTCTGCCTCCGAACCCTTACTCATGACTCAGTGGTGCGTACCAAAGCCCTACACCCCAAAGACACTGGACCCTAAACTAATCTCAGCTAAACCAAAAACCCTAACAGACCCTTAACCCCTCCCTCCCCTCCCCCACCATCCAAACAAAACCAAAAGAACAAAACAAATAAAACAGCAGGGGCACACACACACACAGACAGACAAACAAACGGACAGACAGACAGACAGACAGACAGACAGACAGACAGACAGACAGACAGACAGACAGACAGACAGACAGACAGACAGACAGACAGACAGACAGACAGACAGACAGACACACAGACACACAGACACACAGACGCCGACGTCAGTGCCTGGTACAAGTTTGGCCCATGTCGGGGATCGCCGTGGCGGGGGTTGCTGCCAGGATCGTCTTCGGGAACTTTGCCGCTGGTCCAGGCTTGCCTCACCTTTTTGATCAGTTTTAAAGCCATGTTTCAGTATAGGGGTATGCGGTTAAATTTAAGACTCAAGGGTTCCGGGTCCGGGCTTGTGAAGTTCTCGACTCCAAGGTGTTGGGTTTTCAGGGCACTCAGGATGGGGCGGATTCCAGCTGTGGTGTCCTTGTCCTTGACACGTGAGGCTTGGTGAAAGCTGCGAGATTGTTGTTGAACTTGGGTCTCGTGTTGACGATCCGGCGTCCGTCACTCAATGTAGGCACAGAGTGTTGCCCCGAAAGCTTTCGAGCCGAGTCGAAAGAATGTGCACAGCCATCCAAGTGCAGGCTTTGCTCTGTTGTGTACTACAGGAGCATGAGAGTGGGCAACTCTTGCTCGAAAGCCCCTGCCTCATGTACGAAGGCGTAGAACTCTGCGAGTGTGATGCACCACCTCTCCGGTGGAATGCGCATCTGCGCCTCCATGGCCCGACTTCGTCGAATGCCCTGTGCGAGGCTGAGCAGAGAGCCTTGGACTTAAAACGCAGCTGAGCACATCCAAGCGGCTTTTAGCAACAAAGCCACGGCGAGAGGAGGCAGCTTAGAGCACGACGCATCGCAGTGCACACTCAGGAGCTCTTTTTGGTCAACTCCGACGTCAGGCTTTGCACCAAAGCCGTCTCTGAATTCTCGAAGACCGGGGCTCAAAAGCAAAATGCAAAAGGGCTTGAGCTTTGCTCGACCTAAGCCCTCGAATTGCACCCAAGACTCAAGTTCTAGCTAGACCCGAACTCTGTAAACCCCGAAAGGCAGAAACCTAAACCTAAACCATCATCCCAGAGAGTCAGTTGTTCAGATTCCGTGACCCTGAGAGCCCAGAGCCGCTGGAGTCCGATGCGTCCGTTTCGGAACTGTCGTTGGTAGGCAAGCCTGTAGCAATTCAAGGTCGAGGGCAGGGATTTACGGCTTATGGTGAGCTCAAAGTGGGTTTGCAAAAAAACCCAGTCACGGATTCCTATCCCTATTTGAAATCTTATCGTTTTATTTTATTCCTTATCGTTTTACAAGCCCCGAGCCATGTTTATGTATATGGCCACATCGAATGATTGCCTCAGTCCTTGGCAAAGCCTCCGGGGTCTTGTTGATTGAGGTAATATTAGTAGCAAGAGTAAACTAATAGTAATTATACTACTTGCAATAGCAATAATACTATATTGCCTGGTTCCGCAGTGTCCCGTTGACCAGAATGGTGGAGTTGTTCCTTGTATGCAGTTTAAATTTCGGAACCCATACAATAAACAGGGCAAAAGGGTGCTACTGGCAAACTGAGAAGCTAATAGATATAAACAGAATAGCAATAGTAAGAATCAGAGCAATAGCAATGGTCATGGAAATGGCAATAGTGATAGTGACGGTGATGGTATAAAGAAAAGGTGATAGTGGTAGTGACTAGTCGTGATAGCAATAGTACTGGTAATAGTAATGGTCATGGTAGCAATAATAACAACAGTAATTAGCTGCAATAGTCATAGCCATAGTAATAGTAATCATATATAAACCCAATACATTCACAATAAAAGTTCAACAGGAAGAATAACAGTAATAATGCTAGTAGTGTTCATATCGGAAGTAACAATACTGATAAAAGTAGTGGTAATAGTAATGCGCACTCGAATTGCACGCATTCATTCGATCCAGATGCTTCCCATCGTTTAGTACTGATTCTATACAAATATGATCAAGTGTTCACAGAGCACAGTTTCTGATGCCAAACCTTATCGTTCGGGTTATCGTTTAAACCTCACTACCGCGAATCAATTTTAGGGTCCGAATATACACTTGCCACACTTGGAAGTTGGAAGCACAGTTCTCGAATACCAACGATGTGGATTTGTTGATTAGCTGCTGCCTTTCAGACGTCTGCTAGTCTGACCTAGGCTATTGTGGGGTGGCGACTCTGACGTCTTGTTTCCTATGACCACAAAAGCCACAGGCCAAAAAACTCAATATGACTCAGCACCAACACTGCGGGATTCCTGAAGCAGCTTTGCGGCTTTTAAAACGTCTGCTGCGTTTACTTGGGGTTTGAGGGTTCCTTTGCATTACTTGTACATCCCTGCCATGCTGAGATATGCTGACAGAGAAAACAGAAACCTTATCGTTAAAATTTATTCCTTATCGTTTTACAGTGAATCCAACATATAGGGCCACCAGCTCTTAAATCTCTATAACCGGGTTTTTACTCAAACCCAAGTGTGTTCAAGGCGCGATTTTTTGGTGCTCTCCAAAGAAAAGTTTCAGATGCGCCCAAAAACCCCGCCAGCAAGTTTACACGATCATCCACGGAGATCAATAAATTTCTCGCCAGGTAATGCCATTAAAGTTCCCAACCACCGTAGTCCCACGAAGCTATACTTGGAGTGACAACTAATGAACCGTCAAACGAGGCAGGGCAGCTGTAGTCGCAAAACCCGGCCACCGCGAGCTGCAAGCGGAAAACCTGCCAGGTGACGTGTGAGGACAAACTGGGAAGCCGATTGAATCACTCCACGATTCTGACTCCTTCCGGAACCTAAACCCAGTTCCACACCCAAGGTCCCCAAGGCTCGAAAAACTTCGACGCCGCGCCCTCAAATCCCGATCCCCCTCTCAGCGCAAAGCTCCTGGGTTTGTTGTGCTCAGGCCGACAAGGAGGGGCTCAACTTGGGGGTCTGTTCCGAACCCAATTCCCCACTGCATGATACAGGGGCCTTAATAATTGGAATAGGGTTTGCGGCCCACTATACTATACTTATAATAAGGATCTCCCAAAATGGTATTGGTAACTATTTAGGCCCCTATAGTAGCTCCTCTTGGAACTCTAGCAAAGCCAACCGAAGTTACAGGTAGCCGGGCTTCTTGGAGCCTGTCCAGGACCCAGCACAGCAAGTCCAGTTCCCAGCAAAGCCAGCACTGGACGGAACCAGGTCACCATGATCCTGCCCAACATCCACGCTTAGGGCGAACTAGATCGTGAGGCAGGTTCAGGGTCTGAGGTCCAGAGATTCAAGGACAGCAAACAACAAGGTTTGTACGGTTCAGATCCTGGTCTAACCCTGCAAGGACTCAGGTGGTAAGGACATGACATAGTGGCGAAGTCAGCCACCCGATCTACGTTGGGCTCGCAATAACCACGAGCAGGTAAGCAAAACTCGACAGGGTGACCAACGCCGAAAGATTGAGTACATGTGTGCGGCTAGGAACCTAAGTCATCTCACTCTAAGCCGGTCCTTAGTTGAATGCACAGTTATGGCCTCACACTCCGACATCCACCACACCAGAATTAACGAGCAGGGTTCCGGAGAACCTACAGATCTGAACCCAGGAGTTCCTCCGGTTCTGGAATACTGCGCACAAACATTGTCGAGGACTCCTGGAAGCCTACATAACCCACTGGAAGTGCGAAACCGAATTAACTATCTATTGATCTGTTGTAGGATATAGTCAGGATAGTCATCCATTGTTCCTTCCATGCAGAGAATCATCCTCCACGTGTAGGGCGGCAAGAATCATGGGGGAGATGTTGAATAGCAGCAAGCTGCAAGCTTTGCAGGCAGTGCTTCGCAAGGGCCGCTTGCCATGCGTGTATATAATGTGGCTGCGCGACCCCTAAACAGGAAGAATCTTTGTGCATGTTAAAACACGCCATCTTTATTGTGATTTGTTCCGCTTCTGCAAAGCAAGTCTGAGGGTTCGGTTTCACTGTGCTCGGTGCCAACGCTGTTTGCAAACTCAAAAGGACCAAGCAGACCAAGCATGGCCTCAGCAGGGGCGCTGGGCATTGTTCGGTCATTCCCGACGCCGGCCGCAAGCCCGTGACGAGAGACCTTGCAACAGCGCGGATACAAGCCAAACCAAGTGCCAAGATGGGAAAACCTCTCCCACGCGAAGGAGACAGAGCCTACGGTCGGTCACCTGTGGAAATTCACCATAAAAGACCTATTACAAAAAGTGCCAAAGCAGCCATGAGACAAGTGATCCTCAATGCCAACGAAGACAGGCACACCAAGTGCCAGCAAGGCAGAAACCGTCCAAACTCTGACCTCGCAGTGTTGAATCGGCACGGGGAGGTCTTACAACATACAGCCCTGGAAAGACCACAGTATCACGACTTGAATGTCCACACATCCCCGGTCTCTCCTGCACGGAATGTCGGGCGGGCTGTGGCTGTTTATGCGAAAAGACCAGAAGAAACAAAACGGAGAAGAGGCCCTACACCCTCCATAAAGCCTATCTCACTCTGGCCGCGGGATGCCCACGAGCACGCTACCCACGATTCATGAAGATGTTGGGCAAAGCGCTAAAGACAATGACACATTACTTGGCGGCACATGGAGATGAGCACGTCCACAACATGCCCAGAACATTCATTTGTGCTGCGAATTTCTTGCTGCAGCCTGAGGTGCAGAGAAAACGGCTCGCTCTGGCCCGTAGCGCTCCAATACGAAGGCCGTTACGGGGAGAGCCAGCGCAACCAGAGCACAAATCCCCACGGACACATCTATCCATGCCCTGTCCTTACCAGAGGCAGAAGAACAGTCTTCGCCATCGTCACAGCACCACAAAAACGAGCTGTCACTGTCAACTACCACATAAGCGCACACCTCTTCATCTGAGTGTTGACAACTTCCCAGGCTCTGTGCTACAGGCAACTGCAGACAGGAGACGGTGTCTGCGCATCGGACCGTGCAGCTGCGAAAGCCCAGGGAATGCCTGGAGCACACTCTGAGCCTCTGAGCCCCCAGTCTGACTCTGTACCTGTGTTTCGAACGCTGCCCTGCACGCGTGCACACGATTTTGCATACGGCGAACATCCGCGAACTGGGCCGATGATTGCCTCTATGATGCACTGAGAATGAAGAGGCTGGAACGCAGAGAGGCTGGCCGAACGCAAATATCAACAAGCCGGAGAACATGGACATAGGCAAACATCTCACACAAAAGAGTGGGCTGCACATCTCTGAAGATGTCAGCCGCACCATGAAGTTGCGCAGGACGATTGCGAACCAATTACCGAAAGGCAACGTATATTCAGTGTACGTATTCGAGCCAAAACTACGGATGCCCTTCCAGGAGGATCAGCCCAAGTTCCTCCCGTGCTGGCTCAGGAATACAGTTTTGTCCTATCCGAGCCGTTACCAGGGGACCATTTGACTCAGGAGACAACTCGGATCCCTATTTACAAGGAAACTCCAGAGCTCTTCAAGTGGCCTAGAAAGCTCTGCAAAGGAACCAGACAATCTGTTTGTTCTTTCTTTCTGCCGGGCTTAGAATCTACTCTCTCTCTCTCTCTCTCTCTCTCTATCTATATATATATATATAAATATAAATTTCATATATATATATATATATATATATATATACATATATATACATATATATATACATATATATATATATATATATTGATCTGTTTGTCTCTGTGTCTCTCATGTATACATATCTATATATACATATATATATATATATATATATACACACATGCACATCTACAAGCACATAATGAGCATCTCCGACCCAGTTGCAGCGCCGCCAGGGCCCAAAGTGTGAAGGCGAGGCCCGTCTTTACAATGAGGTCGGAGGTTCCGAAACCTCCGGGTGGTAAGGCAGCTTCTTTTTTGCCTGGGCTCCCTTCCGTCAGCCCGGCTAGCCTTGAGAATTCCAGCGTTGAGGGTTTTACCCTTTTTGCAACAGGCTTGCTACTTCGCCCGGCAGTTGGACCCTAGAAGCCCTTCACAACCCTGAACCCTCTCGGTCGGTTTTTCGCAAGCGAACTGAAACCTCCGAAATGATCCTTGCATGTTCTTGTTTTGAAGAGTCCGGGGCTTGATGGCGTTAGGGTTGTCGGGTGTTGGTGCCCGGCTTGGAGCTTGTAGGGTGTGTATAGAATTTACAGTTTTGAGAGACGAAGCAGAGCGGCTTCAACTTCGATACAAGATTGTATACATTTCCCGAATTTCCGGGTGCAGCCCTCGGGCTGGACGCATTCGAGGAACGCTTTAGTAACAAGTTCAGAGCGCGTTATGCAACTGCCGTTGCACTCCTGACTGAGTCAGGTTCATACTCTAGCACTCGGCCTCGGGATCGCAAAGTCAAATCTAGGGAACTTAAATCATTAGAATAGGGTTTTGGTTCCCTCTATACTATAATTGTAAGGAGGAGCCCCCCAAAAATAGTATTGGTAATTGTTTAGGCCCCTATAGGTAGCTGTGTCCGATAAACCCTTCCCAGGCGCCTCGAATGTCCACGCCAGCTTCGTATGCCCATCGGAGCCAATCGTTGTAAGCTCCGGCTCGCATGAGGACTCGTATCGTCACATCTATCTCCTCCTCATGTCAAAGCATCGATGACTTGAAAAACCGGGCAGCCACAAGAAGCTCCAGACAACCCAACACACGACTTTTGGCTCTCCGAGCCTTCTCCCAGCATCCCAACGGCTAATTCAAGAAAACGCTTCACATTGGGTAGCAGGACTTAGAAGGACAGAATCCGGCCGCCCACAGGTCTAGAACACAGCCCCCTCCACATTCCGCAGTAACTCGTCTCCTCGCATCCCAGGATGGCTGCGCGAATCCTCTGCTCGTCCTTGGCGTGCCATCGTTACACGCTCGGGCATGCTCGGGCGTTGCTGTTTTGGCTTCGCCCTGCATCTACGCCCGGGATTGACCGACAGCTGCCGCGCTACAGCACCCCGTTCTCGGAATCCTCGCAAAGGTTAAATGCTACGGCTAGGGACCGGGATACTAGTTTCCACCCAGTTTCAGCAGGGTCCGAGCACGTCGCGTCGGCAACAGTATCACATTCCAGGTGGCTTGCTTGACGGGAGAGCTCCTGAGGGCTCAAGGGCTGTCGGGAGTTCGAGGCATGTGGGGCTCGGAGAGTTGCACCGTTCTGTTTGTCGAGCTCAAACAAAGGGCAGGGGAAGGTGCCTTTAGCTCCAGCTCGTGCTGGTTCAGCTGCACGATGCGGAGCAAGTTGAAAAGGATCAGGACGATGGGAAAGAAGTAGTGCTGGAAATAATCGAAAGCAGATGGCAAGATTCTCTCATCTCGATTGAAGCTTAACCAGGGAAGGAATGAGAGGGTGCAGAGGAACAGCAGCAGCATGTGCCCGATACGCACGAACTTAAAATGGGTCTGCCACGACCACCTGCAAAACTTCAGCAGGATGGACACCACGAAGCAAACTGCAGTTCCAGTGGCGCATAGAAGCATGACTATGGCCACCAAGAGGAAGTTGTCATCTCGGGCGTCAGTATGCGACAATATAAACCACCAAAACATGCCTGACAGAACTCCAGCTGCCATTGGAGCCATCAGAGTTTGTCTGATGGTGCCGCACTGAGTGGAGGTGTGCGGTCGAGCTGGCATGATGCAAGTCTTCTTCCAGCACGCACCCAGGTATGCCTCGTAGACGCACCACAAACCTGGGGTAGTGGTGATTGCGAGTGGAAGGTTGAGAGGCTGCAAGCGGTGCTCGGACAGCATGCATCTAGTATGGAAGCCAGACACAAGAACAAGAGGGAGAGAGAAAGAGAGAGATAGAGACAGAGAGAGAGATAAGGATAAGGAGACCGGGAGCAACAAAGGGAAAACATCTGGAGAAGTTGAGGGAATCTACCTCACGAGCCAACACACCCGGACCAAAGACACAAACGCTAGGAGAATGCTCTATGGCTGCTTGTTCGAAGACTTCAGCTGCTCTTCCATAACTCTGCCGTCACTGGTGGTTTCAACATGATTCTTATCCAAGTGGCGCGTGTAGATCCCGACGCTGTGGTTCGGGATGACAAGCACATGGGAAGCAGCTTGCATGGCTTTGGCGAAGGGGCTCTCCATCGGCGGCACGTTGAGCAAAGCAGAAAGATCGAGATTCTGCGGGTTCGCCAGCAAACAGCAGTACCTTGGATACTCAGTGTAATAGCGGGAGCTTCGAGAACATCGTCATTCCTTGGCAGATATTCGAGAATCTCTGATTGCAGCTCAGCCTGCAAGCTGTGAAGGAACTGAAGGCGCGGCCAGCCGCGGCGTACCTCCCAGCTCTAGCATAAGGGTATTACTTGAAGGGCATGACAGTGGGACTGAAACGAAAGCCTACGTTGTTCCTGAGTAGATGAGGTTGCCCTGCAGGAGCGCTGCAAAAAGAACTTTCCCTGCTCTTTTATCCTTACCTGGAGTCTTGACGTCCGCTACCAAACTCTCAAACTTGCAGGCGTCAGGCCCCGTGTGTCGTATGCAGTATGCTGGAGTTTCGGGTCCAATTACGCTTCGGGGTTGGGGTGCTTGTCACTCCAATGGGGGTACACGGATACACAAGGTTCGAGGTAACAACCGACACAAAAGGTCATGCCACAGGGCACGAGGTCATCAAGCTCGAAGATGCCCTCTGCCCAGGCATGGGAGATGAAGACCTTCCCGGCGATTGCGCCTATAAGCCTATGCACATCAGGTCGTGGGATTTTGCATCAGGCATCTTGCTGAGCAGAGTCTCTAATCACCAGAATTTGCTTAATTTTCAGACATGCCGACGAAGAATCAATGAGTCGCATTCCGGCTTTTGACTTCTGAGTTGGCATGTCCCAATATACGGGGGTCCTGGAAGGAGGTGGGACTAGTGCTTCAGGAAATTCGACAAGATCTCACATTGAAACCTCGGAAAGGGCCTCAAGTTCGACCAACTCTCTCGAAGCCAGAGGAGGTGCGTCCCCTGAACCCTTCTTCAACCGGGCATAAGTCTAGGGACCCCAGTCTTTCACCAGGTTTGCATGCAATCGAAGGAAGCTCTGCAGCCGTTTAGGGGTTAAGGATTCATGGCTTCCGACTTTCGCGGTTACGGCTTTGGGAACTGACTCGCCCTTTCCGGCCTGGCAACGAAGGCCATCCGGATGCTTCATGAGGGCGTAACTCATGCCTGGGACCCCAGCTCACTTCCGACAGCCGCTTTGGAGCTTTGGACCAGCTTTCCCCGTACCTCCTACATGTTATGCAAAGCTCAGTGTCTAGATCGGGGCGTAAACGGCGTCGGGCATCGAGCGTTAGAAGGGGTTCTTTGGTGGAGTCGATACGACGGGCACTCCGCTTCTGGAACTTGTTCTAGTTTGTCCTGCGGATGCTGAGGATTTCCCAGCGCCTGCTTAACGTCTTCTATAGCGGCCCAGCCATGGAAACAAGTAGCCCTTCAGCCATCGCATGGACCTCAACAGAAACCAAAACTCCCAAAGACCCCTCAAGAAGCAACCGTCGCCTACCCATCCAACACGAGTGCAGGCCGACAGCCTCCGGCGGCACTCGTGATGGGCTTCACATAATGCTCGTTAACCTGGTAGAGGTTCGGCCCATACCTGTGAAATCAATCGCGAGTAAGGGATGGCTTGGGCGTGAGCTGTCATAGATTCATAGATATCATAGATATTTGGGGCTTCGGGGTGTTGGAGGTTTTGACAGCCCAGCCAAGACAGTCTCGGCAAAACTAGCCAACTTTCGCACAAAGCCTGGCTGGCATGAAGACTGCAGGATTCATGACAACATCCACTTTATGTCGTAGACTGTTACTTTGAGATGAAGTCCCAAAAAGACGTGGCGGTTCGCGAAGCTGAGGCAACTGCTGCTACTAGCGTGTCACTCAAGCCCCTGAATGGCTCAGGGTTCCTTTGCCTGGATGCGGTTGGGGTTGATACATTGAAAGTGCCACAGTGTGTAGCAGGATGGCATATCCAAAGCACATTTCCCCAAGTCCTAGAACCCTGAGTCCTAAAACGCTGAATCCTAAACCATGAAGCCCCGTCCGTAAACTCTACAGTAGAAGCCAGAAAGTTCGAACATCAATGTCCTCATGCCCTTAAGATAGAGTATAGGGAATCCTAGCACCAATCCTCCTCAACCCATGTTCAAATTTGTTGGGTTTCACTGTAGATCTTTGACAACTGGACTTTCACGAAAACCAGCAGCAAAGACAAAGGACTCGTGCCTTCCATCTCCACTCTCTCTCTCTCTCTCTCTCTCTCTCTCTCTCTCTCTCTCTCTCTCTCTCTCTCTCTCTCTCTCTCTCTCTCTCTCAGAATACAGTAGAAGCCCAAAAGCTGGAAACCCGATAGCCTCCTTCCTTAAGAGTAATGTATAGGGAACCCCAGCTCTATTTGGCCTTAATCCGGTTTCCATTTTTATGGGTTTAGGGTTTAGGGTTTAGGGTTTAAGGTTTAGGGTTTAGGGTTTAGGGATCAAAATCCCAACCCACCTCGAGTCGCCGCGCCGCCCGTGGACGTCCTCTCCAGGAGGAGGCAGCTCGCCACGAGACCAAAGCTGCCGAACCTACGAAATATAGGGGCCCCAATAATTAGAACAGGGTTTTGGGGGCTCCCTATCATGGTAGTATACCACCAAGCCCTTCTAGGGCTCCTACATTAGGGTTTGAATTTGCTTTTTTTGTGTTTGAGCGGTTCGTTTCGTAAACTCGCACTAGGCAGGCACGGATCCAGGGACAGTCTCCACGACTTCCACATTGCGATGCTGACATGTGATAAGGAAACACAAAGCAGCAAGCCACTGAGTGATAAACAATGTAAGGACCTAAGACCGTAGAGTATAGGGCTTTCGGATTTCAGGGTTTGGGTTTAGCAGTTCCGGCATACAGTGGGGTGTTACAGGTCTCAGGCTCGAGTTCTCAGGGATACCTCTCGGGTCCTGTGCCGGACAGTCTGTATATGTGAGGCTGTGTAACTTAGTAACAGACCGGTGGTATGAGACCGCCATATTCACCCAAAATACCTCCAAATAATAGCGTTCCTAATGTACGGACCTCCGAAAACGGTGCAGGCTTACGCACTGCAGCTGCTGATTCGGAGTTTCACGTTCACGCCTCCTGCACGAAGGTGTGGAACTCGCAGCGGGTCAGTCCCCAGCGCTCTGGTGGCACGCGAAGGTGCAGGTCCATGGCGAGCTGAAGAAGTTTGCGGAAACCCAGTTGTGTACATAATGCATGGGTTATTGCACGATGGCAGTGTGGGCATTTGGCATAGTTACAGACAGCTATTACATTACCAAACTAATTCATTGCTCTGGCTTTTAGAGGCTTATGGTTTGTGATGTGGGTCCTCCGGACTAAAGGAAAGGCGAAACAAACCTCATATGTAGGGTTATATGCAACACACATGCAACTGCACCGCCGTAGAGACATGTGTGTGCCTGTTCCATTCATATCATTGCCTTAGCACCCTCCGCGGTCTTAACGGAGTTTGGGTTCCGGGAGGCTAAAAACTCAGGGCACGGAGCTTGGTCTCAAGGTACCAAGCTCAACTAAGGTCTAAGTCTAAGGGTCTGCGAATGTTCGAGTCACTTGCAAGGATAAAGCTGACACATGTATCAGCAAAGGGCTCGCCCCTCAGATGTGTTTCGCAGGGTCGAATTGGCCAGGCCTTTGCGCGAAAGGATTGCCTCGCGATACATGGCGCAGCAGAAACACTGTGCAGCGGCCGGTCCACTCGACAAACAGGAGGCATGAAAACCTTGCGTTGCATGACTGGATAAACGTTCGAACGACTGTAGGCTGGACAAGGCTTCCTGTTTTGGACTGGCATGGCCATTAGGGAGTACATGGGTCGTCGAAACTTCTCAAGACCTCGTCCCCGCAACACTTTGTGGCGAGGAGCGACGCCAAGCGGGACCAGGACACTCCAAGATCATTTGAGAAGGCGGCCGATGATGTCATCTACCCGTTGAAACCTCCTTCGTCACGAAACATAAGGGTACCGGTCAACCACTACGACGACGGCTACTGACCACAACTATGACCAATTACGACTGTGGTTGTGATTGCGACTGCAACTATTGCTACTGCTACAACTACGAGGACGACGACTGAGTATTACCTCTACCACAACCACGACGACGGCGACGACCACCCACCACAAAGACGACGACTGCGATTACGACCACAGCGACAATAAGTCGATACTACTACTACCCTCCCCCTCCTGCTGCTGCTGGTGCTGCTGCTAATGCTGCTATGTACTACGACGGCATCCTAAGGGCACTGCTACTACGACGGCGACGGCCGACGGCGATGCCCACGGTGACGACGACGACGACCGCGACATACGACGACCAACCACGATCACTACTGTCAATGCTACTGCGGCTCGTCCTGTCCTACTGCTACCACCACGAACACCTACCTGTACCCGCCAGGTCACCAGGTACATATCACGCACGTACTATTCCGGCGGTGACATCAACAACGACGTCCACGCTTCCGTTGTACTTTGACAGCAGCTGCCCAGCTGAAGTGGTTGAAAAGCTCGATTATAGTTTCAGGTCGCCATATAATATGTAGTTAGTTATTTGATTTTGACCGGCCAGCACAACCAGGTCTACACTTTCAATTGCACTGGTGTGGTGCCAGACTCCCACCTTGTATAAAATTAGCTGGTCCGGGGAAACTGCGGCAAGGTCCCGCTGAAATCTTTACAAACAGGGCACCCCGTCAGGGTGCTGGCGGGGCAACCCAGCAAGAGCTGGAGCTGCAATGGAGAGACTCTCCGTTCCCAGTTACAAGAACAGAGAACAATAATAATAATAATCATAATAATAATAACAATAATAAGAGTAATAATGGTAACAACAACAGCAAGAAACAGTCTCAGCTGGTCCGGTCTCAACACTCGCTCGTGATTCCGAGTTCCAGCATCTCGCTCCAGGGTCAGCTCGCAAATCAAATCTGCTGTGTCGTTTGCCTTTCCACCGCCGCCCCGCTGTTAGCGGAGGTCTCCGAATCAGAAGCCTCTGTAGTCTCAGAGCATGTGCAGGTAAAGCCTTAGAGCTCTTGGCAGCTTTGGTCTCAGCATGAGCATCCACATGAGCCTTTCGAAGCCTGGGTTGGCGAGGTGGGCTTCGTGTTAAATTGCTAAACAATTAAGATCTGATCTGAGCTCATGGCCGCACGGGTCCGTGCGCTTACTCGCTCCTCCGTGCTCCCCGACTGCTTTTTGCAGCCCCGGCACGGTGCGAATACGGCCCGTAACGCTGAAGAGCGCCACCCCTTAGAGACTTCTAGGGTGCCATAAAGTTCCAGCTTCAGGGTGTCTAGCATGGGAATTCGGGCGAACGCACGCCCTCTGTCAGCTACCCCGGAATCAGGATCAGGTTAATACTAGACACCACGAACTATTTCCAAACCCCCCTTCGGCTGAGCTGTGCAATGCGGATTGGGCCTGCCTCGCACCTGTACTGGAGCGCCCGAACACAAACACAAACCGCCAGGGTTAGGTTCATGCTGTCCTAGAACTCAAGGTGACTCTCCCTCCTCTTCGGCAACACCCGGGGTTCTCTCTCTCTCTCTCTCTCTCTCTCTCTGCCTCTCTCTCGCTCTCTCTCTGCCTCTCTCTCCCGCGCTTTATGGCGAATAGAAAGCAAAGAGGCACAGCTGCGATGGCCGCCAGAACCGAGACGATGGGTCTGAAGCATGCCACCATGAACCTGATAAAGAAAACCGCAAGCAAAGCTTCATATTCATGGGTGAGGCAGCTTGTAGACTGTAGATGTCGCCCGAAATGACTATGCGGGGCGTGACACAGTATGCCAGTGAGCGTGAATATCAGCGCATGGGCGATTCTGTGAAATAGCGCGTTGATTTTGATTCTTGAGCAGACCCCAAAAATCATGGCAGTTCACGGAGCCTTCCTGCTCTTGATGGGCTCAAGCTCTAAGTGCCAGACCATCCATACCACGGCGGGCACCAATGCTCTTGCTGATGCGAAGCATGATGTACTTCTTCGCCCTCTGCCATGAAATGCCTTTGCGAAAGACATGCACAAGATTGCACCAGGAAACATGTAACGCAGGGAAAGGTGTATCCTCTGGCATATTGAAGGAAGGCAAGCCACCCTAAACTCCAAATCGTGGTTGCCGAAAGTCCAAAAGTGCAAAATGACAGGTTCCAGCCGAGCAGCATTGCATTCAGGAGGTGCTCTTCTATCTGAACCAGAAGAGGGATGCCCAAAGCTAACGATGCGGAATTCATCCACACCTTGACCTTGGCTGAAGCGTCCGACTCATGGCTATGGAGGCGATCACAGCTGGAACAGGAAACCTCGCATGCTCAGGGGAGCCCGTGTCGCATAATATAAGGGCCTTCATAATTAGAACAGGGTTTTGGGGCCCATTCTACCATAACTAGCAAAATAAGGAACCTCCCATATAGTATTGCAAGGTAATTAATTTTAAAATTAAGGCCCCTACATTAATTGAGGTCTTCTTGCGGCCCTGCGGCAGCAAAAGCGCTGTGGTGATGCCCGCGGAGATGGAGGCGCCAAATTAAAACTGGCAAGGTGATCGTCGTCACGACACTGGTTGCAATGGATAGGTAGAGCCAGCTTACGCTGCCAATGTTACAGGCGAAGTAGTTGTCTGCGAAGCCTGCCGAATCCACAATTGCCAGAATCCAGAGCATAGTCGCCGTACCCATCCTGTGCAGAAAGCGCTGGCTGGACGAATACCGGAAATCTTTTCAAGCTTCAGCCTACATGTCGAACATGCAGGCACGCACGCCGAGCCGACTGATTTCTCGGGGGCTTGGGGCTGGAAGTAAATAAAGGCTACCAAGATTTGGGCCATGGAGTCTGGATATAAGGCCCTTTTTGAATCCACGCCTATTTCGACTGCCGGCAACAACACCCAGCCCTAAATCCTGAAAGCAGTGCATAGCAAGGCGCTTTGCCAAGAGGTCTGTATTGCCAACTCCAGAGATGTCGAACCCCGCTTCGAAGGCGTTTCCTAGAGATCGAACATACAATACGCAATAAAGAATACAGAATACAGAACATAGGCTATAGTTTATCTACATATCTACTCCTATACATATACATATATCAATTGCGAACGGACTGCGATGCCTTGTCAAGTTCTAAGGTGTCACTATAAGAGCTGTGAGCAAGACCGTGTAAAGTGCAAGAGAAGGGGGCACGCTACGCGTCCCTCGACTCTAGGGGGCATGCTACGCATCCCTCATCTTTACCTTTCTATGTGACCGCCAACGCAACGTTTGGCTCAAGTCAATGCCCATAGCTAAGTGCTATATGTGTCTTCTATCCTGAGCAATCAGAGCTATCCCGTTGCACAGACGAACCGCCGCCGGCAGTGAGTGCAAAAGGAACGGCCGCCGGTTCTGCCTGCATAGGATCGCACGTGTGGAAGTAAGAGGGAGAGACAGGGTCCAGTCTGTGGAGAGTGCTAGCCAGCCACACCTACATTCATTACAGCTCTGGTGGGGAGAGCAGCAACCAAGTCGAGATCAATCCCCCACGCAGGTTATCAGCCGTACGCGGCTCTGCCTTTCTACAGCAACGACTACTTGATCTACTACGACCACAATGAACTCAGGATCAAGCCAAGATACGACAATGACTTTCGGTGCCGATGTGGCAGCGCCAGCCGTTGGTGAGTCAACAGCTGATGACACAGTGGTGCAATCCGTTGATAGCTCCACGGAAGATGACAAAGGTCAATCTTCTGCGCTTGCCATTGCAAAGGCAGTTCCCAAGGGGAAAGCAAAGAGTCTACCAAGAGCATCTACGCCTTCGCGTCCGACATCCACAGGTTCGAGGACGGGCAAGGCTTCAGAACGACGGGCCGAAGCGTCTGGTTTTCAGGCACCTCGGACTACGTCCAGGGCCAAGGACAAAGGAGTCAAGACCTTGGAAAAGAAGTCAAGACCATCATCTTCGAGAAGCTCTTCAGCACGATCGAGGACTTCGGCTACTCGTGGGCGTGACAAGTCCATGACTTGGAATCGGATGGTTACCAATCAACCACGCGATACTGACGATCTGGACATGACTCTGGATACGATTCCTGCGCGTGGTGATGCGTCATCCGTGGCCACGCCTGCAATAGCTGATGGTCCGAATGCCTACCAGGAACTGACGATTTCGCAACAAT